GATGGATAATGAAAGACCCATTTTATATTTTCAAAACACATCCCATCTCTTATGTCACCTTTGGTATGTGGAAATGGCTAAATCATTTCCCCCTTATTCCTTTATTATTTTTATTCTTTTATGTGGTTTGGCTTTGAGACTATTCCCCAAAATCTTGATTTAACCATTCCCCACCTCTCCCACGTTAATGGTTATTCCATGACTATGGAATAGAGTCAAAAAAATTTTGAACAAAAATGTCCCTATTTATTGGAAATAATTACAATTTACAAATAAAAAATAAAAATAAATAAAAAGTAAAATGAAATTAAAATAAAATTATATTAATAATTTAATAACAAATTTTTAATAAAAATAAAAATTAAAAGATTAAAACAATGAAAACACAAGGCCATGGGCATGTATCCAAATAGAGTAGTATGGCCAGTTCTAAAACTCTTATGCAGCTTTTTGATGGTAAGCTCATTAAATAAGGGCAGTGGAGAGGTGATGTTCAGATTGTTCATGCATGGGATTTCCGATTTCCTACAATTCATCCTCTATAGTCTTGGATAATTCTTTAGCACAAGCCATTGACAGGAGAGATTAAATTGAATGTTGATGGAAGCTCCAAACCTAATTCACAAAATGCAACTGGTGGTGGTTTACTAAGTGATCATACAAGTGCAATTATTTTTGCCTTTTCTAAGAACTTTGAATCTAACAATTCTCTACAAGCAGAATTATTAGCATTACATAGAGGTCTTCTATTGTGTCAACAACACAATCTCTCCAATGTTTGGGTTGAACTGGATGCAATGGTTGTCATACATATGATTAAGACAGGATGTAAGGGTTTCCATGACATACGGTATTTATTAGCCTCAATTAGACCGTGTTTACATCAGTTCTCCTATCGAATTTCTCATATCCATAGAAAGAAACCAAGCTATAGATTTTTTGTCCAATTAGGGTCACTCTTATCCGTATTGACAAGTTTGTACTGAAGTTCAAGATATATTACATGAGATTATTATATTAGATAAATCAAACCTTCCTTATGTTCGTTTTAAATAAATGTAAAAGAGTAGTACTCTTAATTGAATTTTTATTATTATTTCTCTCTATTCATAGAATATGGTAAAAAGGAGATAATTATTCTCACTCCAGCATCCAAAATATGCAAGTGCAATAAAATTTTCTTTAGGTTTTTCTATAATTTTATACTGTGTTCACGTAATCTCGGAAGTATGATTTGTCCCTTCCTATTTGTATCCATTTACCTTAGTACTAATAAAACTTCAACAGGGTAGTCGGGCCATGCAGGAACTTTCAGCATAAAAAAAATAAAAATACAAATAGCAAAAAAGAAATTAAAATAAAAAATTATATTAATAATTTAATAATAAATTATTAATATTAAAAAAGAAATTTTATTAAATTATAAATAATGAGTAATTTTATCTAATTTACTAAATTATAATAAAAGGTAATTTTGTTATTTTATTATTTATTCCTTAATTATTCCAAAACTATTCTTAATAACTCAATATTTAAATGAATTATAATAACAAATCGTACTTTATCTCATTTCATGAACCAAATTACATAATAACCATTTTATTCTATTATTTTTTCATTCTATTTTCACAAAATAACTATTCAATTTTATTACATTCTATGAACCAAACGTGCCATTCCTAATGTGGGATTTGTGACATTTAATCCCACCAAATTATGCAATACCTTTATTGCAATAGTTCTTTTACCCGTATAGGAAAGGAACTCTTACAGGAATTTAGATCTACTTCAACCCTTGTATCTCTTATGGAGGTTCTACATCAGTGAAAATGTAAGTTTGTTTTGATACCACTCGTCATAAGTTAAAAATTTAAGTATAACTTTGTACGTCTTTAAACTCTAAAAATAGAATTTAAGTAAACTTATAAATTACATGTCCACGTTCTCAATGCAAAAAACATGCTTAATAGATGGTAGAAAAACTCATGTTTATATTTTCAAGACCCATCCCATTTATTATTGATATGAGATCTGTGATATTATTATGAATTTCGGTGATACTTTACTTTGAACACTATTATTTAGTATATAGGTATTTGAATATTATAATTATCTGATTAAAACTTTGAGATTATTATTTGAATTCGTATTTAAATATTCTAGACATTATTCAGTTAAATATTTGAATTTGAGTAAAATGACTTTAAAATCAAATTTTATGTATATTATTAATGAAAAGTAAATTAATAAATTAAATTTAGTTCATAAAAAAATTAAAAGTATATTTGAAATAATTTATGAATTTTGTAAGTATTATATTAATAATAAGAAATATATAAATATAAAATTATATATAAAATAAAATTTTAATATTAATAATTATTATTTATATTCGAATTTGTGTAATGTTTGTACCTTAATGCCACTACTTGACCCTTATCGAAACTCATGACAGGTAATAAAATATGATTATAAAATACTCTGATCTTACTTAATCGAATTGGATAATATAAGATACATAATTATAAATTAGTTATAAGTATCTTTGTTATTTATAATTATCAATAAGAGATTGATTTAATTAGTGTATTACTTACCGAACTTTACAGTAGCAGTATTTGATACTCTGAACAGTTTAATCAAGATCCATATCCTATCAAAAAATCAAAATGCGACCCTACTAATTGACCACTGCTCCAGGCACTGAGGAAGGCACAAATTAATCCTCTTTTTTGCCAACTTTATCCTCTCCCTTCGAATGCTTTGGATTGTTTACCTAAAATGAGGTTAAGAGGTTAAGTGTAATCTTTAGAAGGAAAGGGTAGGGGGGGGAGAGGGGCACAAGCGTCATTCTGAATGCAGAGCTTATCCAAAATCAGTGGGGCACACAGAATATGCCGATTGGAGTTTCCTTTGTTACGAGTGGGACTGTGAGAAAAACAACCAAAACTCACTGGGCAGAGAGGGGGGTGGTGGCCTGGTTTTGGCATCACGGATTCATAGGGATTAATTATTTAATTAAAAGATATCATCATTTCATTCATTAGGGTGGTAGCAACTAATATTTAATTAGTGCTGTAATCTTGCCTTAATTAATATTATTCCATACACAAATTTATGATGCGGCGCTGCCGCATCATGTCTGCTGTGGCTTCACCCTTACACCTCACTCAGCTTGATCCTATATCTGACCTACCCCTAAATCCCCAAAAAAGTCCACTTAATTAGTAAAATCAAGGGTCAAGCTTGGTCATCTAAACCATTTAGTTTTAACTTTTTAAGAAGAATGGAAAGCAAAATAAAAGCATTTTGGCATAATCCCTCAGCGCCGTGATTGAGTGGTGCGCACTGCACCGTTAAACATTCCACGGAACCAAAATAAAGAAAATAATTTATTTATTTATTTTTTTTAATTTTGGAAAAAGGATTAGCTTGTTTCTTAAATCTGCGTCTCCATATAAACTCAACGTAAACGAAAAGCTAAAGATCATCACGCCTTTTCCTTGCCCTTTGATTTCCCTTTTCCTTTGCGCCTTTCTTTGCTTTTGGTTTTCTGTCGCTTTTTCCTTTTTTGTATGTTTCTTTTTCAATGGTGATGGAGGATAACGAGAGTTGCGGGAGCAAAGCGAACGACACGTCGTCGCCGGTGCAGAGCCGGCAACAGCGGCAAAAGCTCAACGTTTACAATGAGGTTCTCCGGCGGCTTCGAGAATCCGACCAAGAAGAGGCTAATCGGCCTGGCTTCGACGACGAACTTTGGACTCACTTCAATCGTCTCCCTACTCGGTATATCTTTTACAATTTTTTTTTCTTTAGAATTGACTACATGGATAAATACAAAGAGAAATACTAGTAACATTTTCATTTATTTTTATCTTACATCTATATCTGTTATAATTTGTTGTGTGATTCTGAAGGTCTTTTTTTATCAAAATACTGAATCTCAGGGACGGAGTGTTTCTTTTTCTCTCTTTTTTCTGTTTGGATACTGTGCTTCGAAGATTAGCGTTTGGAGTTTCCATTAACGAACTGTTTGGCTTAATCTTATGGTTAAAATCAGTAGCGTTTAATATGCATTTTAACTTGCCGAAGGATCTTTTCGTTAGTTTTGATTAGTGGATTAATATCATATTATAACTTTTTTTTATTTCTTTATTGCTTTTTGGTGTTTGGCTTCCTGCCGATGAGATCAGAAACAAGTAGAGAGAAGCAGATTTCATAGTTTCTTTTTTCTTTTATTGTTATTATCTTCTTGAAAAATTCAATATTCTGATTCTTGTTGAATTAATAAATAGTTGTTTTTATTAAGCGTGAGTTTATACATTGCAGATATGCATTAGATGTGAATGTGGAAAGAGCAGAAGATGTTCTTATGCACAAGAGGTTACTGCATTTGGCTCATGATCCTGCTAACAGACCAGCAATGGAAGTTCGTCTTGTGCAGGTAGTGACTTAATTTTTTGTGTTACGTTTCATAACTAAGCATTACGAAAGCTTTTAATCAATTAGGTCTACATTTTTAGTAGCGGTGAAAATAAAGGTATTGATAGTTATTTCTAAACATTAATCTCTTTGTCATTCTTAGAATGATATATCGGTGTGTGGTTAATGTCATGAGTCATGTGATGACTGATGTGGTGCACCTTACCTGATCAGATTTTGGAAATTGATATCTGTCAGGTCCCACATCCCACTACCTAACTTTTTAAGATTATTAGAAACATTCATTGTATACAATTCATCATGTGTATAAGGGTCATATCTCTAAAAAATTTGGAAGTTGAAAATATTTCACAATTTTTGAGATCCAGTTCTAAGGGAGGCTACAAAATCAAAGTTGTTCTTTGCATTTTGTAATCAAGCCACTACATTCAGTTGGTGAGATTGCTTTATCTTTGACATTTTGAGAATGTTTGGGAAAGTGCATGCATTATTTTTCATTAATAAGTGTCAGGTTTATGGTTTTAGACTTCAAAGCTGATTGAATCTTGGTAGGCTAGCACAAGGCTCATGTTGCCTGTAGTTGTCACATACAAAAGACCTAGTCCATTCAATCTTGACTTTGTCTCCTATTTAGTTGGCTGAAGCTGACATTTATTTTTAGGTTTGTGCCTGTATATTTCATCTTCAATTCAGGAAGGTAAATTTTCATGCTGTCTCTTTCCAGGGTAATAGTGGAAAGATAGAGCGGGTTTTGTGAAACATAGAATGTTCTTTGAAATAATAATGTGTTCAATTGCACATTAGCATTGTAGATGCAGTTTTACAATTTATCCCTCTTAGAACTTTCTAAAAATAAATCTATAGTATTAAATTGTAGGTGTCAATAAACACATCAATTATGAAGTTGAGGATTGCAGTTGCTACTACTATGATCCTTTCCTGCATGCTTCCTTATTTCGCCATAAACTATTAAAGAGGTTATGAAGCTAATTGATTGTGAAATGGTTCTATTTGGTATGTAATGTGCATAATTGACATATTAGCAGTTTTATTTCAATGATTTTCAGACTCATTTTGTCATTCGTTTTCCCCACTTTCTAAACCCTAACCTTGTAATTTCTTATGCAGTTCAATGTTATTTTTAAGATGCATTTGTCTCTCTTACTCTTCCATGGATAAATTTAATGTCTGTTTTTTCTATTTGATGTTTTTTTTGTTCCCATCACTGAACAGATTCATGTGAGCATCTTGAGGGTTTCTTCTAAATATTCAAGTTATAAATTTGAATTGATGTGACGTTCAATGCTATAAGTAGCTCCCAGCTCTTGATTTGCTTTCAACTGTTTAATGTTGGTTACCTGCATGTGTAGGTCCAATCTATTTCTGATGGGAGTTTAGATTATTCTACTCTTTCAAACCCCCTGTGTGAGGAATCTGCTCAAAGTTCTCTGAAACACTCTAGCAGACAAAGGTTTGCTTTTCAAAAAATTTTGCCATCTATAACGTACATGCTTTAATTTCTTAAAGCAGCTCTCACTTGTCTGGTGCAGAATCTGTCTTTAAGACTTCCATATTCCTCTTATTTTTTCTTTCAATATTTTTGTTGCTCATTTTGCACCTGGAGTGGTGTTATTAATGATGCTGAGAATTATAGCTGGCTCTTCAATTGTCAGCACACATCCACCACCTGCCTTCGGCTCATCGCCAAATCTTGAAGCCCTTGCACTGGAAGCAAATAAATCTCAAGATCAAGATGGAGATAATTCTGTACATGCCAATTCACATTTTTCCCGGTATTTATTTATGCCTTGAAATGTCCTTAGGCAAGGGCTGATTGTTTCTACTAAGATTCTGGTTAAGTTAGTGGTAGCTTGGTTTTTGGACTTGATCAACTTATTGTTTTGGAATATTCTTATATTAGGTCTTTCAAATATTCAGTAGTGCATTAATTGATAAGCTCTTGTAAAAGTCCAACTTTTTTTACCTCATAGCCATGCTTTCTCAACTGCTATCTTTTGTTGATTTTAGTTTTAGGCGTGCCTGTGTGTGATGACATCTATTTTCATGTTCACCTTTTGTCTGTCTGCCTTATTGTTCATCTCCTGATACTTTTGTTACCGCAGAGCCATTCTTCCTCACCTGCTATCTTTTGTTGATTTCAGTTTTAGGTGTGCTTGTGTCTGATGACATCTATTTTCATGTTCACCTTTTGTCCGTCTGCCTTATTGTTCATCTCCTGATACTTGTGGCATTTTGGCGAAACTTTGTAGATACTATCTTATTCATTTGGATGGTGAAATTTACATTCTTTTCTTAATTGGTGCTGATGCAGGCCTATGCATGAAATTACATTTTCAACAGATGACAAACCAAAACTTCTCAGTCAGGTATATGATAGTTTTGTTTGTTGAACTACAAGTGTAAATTTATTCTATCATCTTGTCAATTTTAAGTTAGTGCTTTATGAACACGAGATGGTTACACTCTTAGATTATATTGGAATAAAATTAATGATAAAAAATTCATCTTAGGTTCCATCCGTGCTCTTGGTTCAATTAATTGTCATCTAATATTGTTCTCTGGTTATTTTTCATGTAAAAACAACTGTCATTTTATTGTTACACATGGTTGAATTACTCCACTAGAGAGTCAGTGAGGTTACATGTGAAATGGACATAATTTTTAAATATTTGACCATTCAATATTGCTCCTCATTCTATTGGGTCATGCCTGTGCATTACTTGCAGTTGACCGCATTGCTTGCTGAGATTGGGCTAAACATCCAGGAAGCACATGCATTTTCTACAGTAGATGGTTACTCATTAGATGTTTTTGTTGTTGAAGGTTGGCCATATGAGGTACTTTTCATTTTAATATCTTACTTCTATAGCTATAGACATAATTGTTTTATACAATGACCATTTAACTAAAATAAAATCTCTCATGATTGGTTTTTCAATATTTTATGTTTAGCTGTCAGAATAACTGCTCTTATTCTTGCTAAAAAATTTTATATAGCTATTTGTTTCTCAACTTATGGATTCTGTTATTTGTTAATTTAGATGGTAATTATTTTTGTTTTCTCGAGAGTCATATTAAAAGTTCCATTTTAGACAACTAGATGAGTGCTTATTGCTGTACCGTATAACTTTTATAAATTAATATTCAATAAATTAATAACCTTGATTAAATAATATTTTTGACTGGTCCCGACTTGGGACCAATGTAATAAATTAATAATTTGCTAAATTTATAAGATAATACATTTAAAAAAAAAACATATAGGTTCCACTTGATATATAAATTAATAATCTCGTTATTCATCAAAATTATATATGTACTTAATTCAATTAGGATGCCTTTGTAAAATATAACTCCAATGTTACTTATTTTTCTTGAACTTGATGTTTCTTTAGACCTCATCTTTAACCTTTTTTGGTATTGAGCAAATCACTCATTGAAAACCTTATCTAGCTCAGAGAATTTTGTAGTTTTGTACCGTTTGGTATCACCTTTTTCAATGTTGGCTGATAAATATTCTGATGACCTCTTGATCGTATTTAATATTGTTGCTCGACTCACTTGCAAGTTAAACTTTTTCGACACCCACTATTGCAATTGCTTTTGTGTGCAATTTGGATTTTCTATTTTGTACTCACACAATACTTTATGCATTTCATCCGTTATTGTTGATTTCTTTATACCTTTGAGATGAGAAGCCATTGCGTTTAGTTTTACCATTTGTGATATTATATGTTCTTTTTATAGATGTTTTTGCTTCACTTAATGTTCATCAAGTATATTAAATAAGTATAGAATAATGATATATTGAAATTCGGTAATTAGGTAATATTTGTATAATCACAATAAACAATACATGTATTAAGTTCAATGTTTTGGAAAAAAAATAAAGAATACCTTAATAAATTATTTTTTATTAATTAATGTATAAATTAATAAATTATTAATTTATCAATTAAATAATATCTTGATTAATTAATAAATTTTGATGGCCCCAAGGATATTAATTTGTAGAGGTTTTACTGTACTTAAATGGTTTGTTTAAGCCTTGGTCTATTAGAAGATTATAATTTTTCTAGAACTTGCTTGACAGACTTGTGATGTCAAATTGTCAGGAAACAGAGCAGCTTAAAGTTGCTTTGGAGAAGGAAGTCTTAAAAATTGAGGTAATTCCATACTGCAGGTTTAGGTGCTTGCAAATTACTTATGAGACTTTTGAATGTTATCTTGGATATCTGCAAAAGATCTCTTTTATATTTTAACAAACCGTTTTCCTTCCAACAATGCTTGTGATTAATATGGAATGTTGTCATGTGTCCTTTCAGCAAAGCTTAAATTCACATGCACTGAGTGTGCTTATTGTTTTTATCTTTCCCTATAATGTTAAAAGGACTGGTTTAATGAGAGTCTAATTTAATAAGTTTTTTGTGTTGTTTCCTTTGTCAGCCATCTCCAGCTTTTCAAGTGGAGCACTGCATCATAATACTTACAAAATTTTGATCAGCTTTAAAAAGGGCCTTCTGTTTCCTGAAATATTTCAAATTATTTTATGTTATAATGATATAGTGTTAATTTTTATTCATCATTAGACCCTTCCTTTCTTCACTAGATGCTTATGTGCAGTATATGGTCAAGTAATTTGTGAAGCCAGCACTAAACAAAGTTTTTACTAGTTTAATAATGTCTTGGTGACAGAAAATTACTCATACTACAAGCCTCAAATTATGAAGCTAAGCCCTTCCTGAGCTTTGTGCCCACCCCCTCCCTTTGCCAGGGTGTAGGATTAATGGGCTTCAAATCCTAATTTGTTAATATGTGTTCTGATCTGCATAAATGCCTTGGATGCGTTCCATGCTTTCTTCTTTCTGATTTCCATTGTTAAGTGATTGGTTCGATTCTAGCTGAGGTGTAATATGCTGAAATGCTTAATGTTTAGAAACATGGAAATTTTCAATGTGAGAGGTAGAATTTATTAACTAAAAGTTTGTGCTTATATTATGAGCAACTGAATCAGACTCTAGTTTCAATTACAATTTTATGCAGAAGCAATCTTGGCTCAAGCAGCATTCCTTTTCTCCTACAAGGGACTATGAGGAAATGGGGAGCAATGGTGATCAGAATTATGTGGCAATTCCTAATGATGGGACTGATGTTTGGGAAATTGATCCTAGACACTTGAAATTTGAGAACAAAGTTGCATCTGGGTCATATGGGGATTTGTAAGTGCATCAATTACTTTCTGATTGATCTCTCTTTTTTTTTGAGCTATAATATAATTGTCCTTTTAACCTCTTGTAGGTATAAAGGTACTTATTGTACTCAGGAAGTGGCTATTAAGATCCTCAAGCCAGAGCGTATAAATACTGATATGCAGAAAGAGTTTGCCCAGGAAGTCTTTATCATGAGGTTTGTGAAGAAATATTCTGGTGTTCCGATTAGAACTTGTGGTCCCCCCCTAACACCCCTCCTTCCACCCGCCCTCCCCCCCACCAAAAAAAAAGGTGTTAAGTGGAGGGTTTTTTAAACTTATCCTCCATAGGCTCAGTTGGATTGATGATCAGCTGATAATGTCTAGCTTCTCTAATGCTGTGTTTATGTTTCTAGATTTTGTGTATTTCTATGTATTTTTATAGAAATGATATCAGTAGCATACATGTACATTAGGAAGTAGTTACTTTGGATCTTGAGTGCCTTGATCAGTGTTTAAACTTTTACCCCTTTCTTTCATCATGAAATGCACTGATTTTTAATATTTTATCAAAATTGAATGTTTCTTTTAGATGACAGCTTTAGTCTAGGAATAATCTGTACCTTTAATCAACAATTTCTTTCAAAATTTGCAGGAAAGTTCGGCATAAGAATGTTGTGCAATTTATTGGTGCATGTACCAAGCCGCCAAGCTTGTGTATTGTAACAGGTAGTCTGCTGATTCTTTAGTTGTCTTTACTGACTTGATGGAAGTGATATTTAAGATTATTTCTCTCTCTCTCTCTCTCTCTCTCTCTCTCGGTTATTCTTTCTAAATGAGAGAAAATTTTTAATGTTCGTTTTCTTTCTCTCTGTCTTGTTTTTTCTTTTCCTTTCTCAGAATTTATGTCTGGTGGAAGTGTGTATGACTACCTTCATAAACAGAAGGGTGTTTTCAAGCTTCCAACCTTGCTTAAAGTTGCAATAGATGTTTCCAAAGGAATGAACTACTTGCACCAAAATAATATAATCCACAGGGATTTGAAGGCTGCCAATCTTTTAATGGATGAAAATGAAGTAAGATGCTTACAGTTGCTTAGTTTTTACTTTCAACTGACTAGAGCTTGTCCTTAGTCCTTTCAAGTCCTGCTTGAGAACATGTTTTTCTCCTAAAAGCCATAGTCATGCTGTGTAATACTATAATTCTTTGTTATCAAAGTCAATTTAATGCTTTCATCCTATATTTTCTGTCTTGATAAAAATGCTATTACATGCTTTGCATTACAGGTGGTTAAGGTTGCTGATTTTGGGGTGGCTAGGGTGAAAGCTCAATCTGGGGTTATGACGGCTGAAACTGGAACATATAGATGGATGGCTCCTGAGGTGTGCTCTTAATGCAAAAGCTGTTAGAAACTGTTCCATGAATATTCCTAACTTGCCTTTGGGTGTCTCATCAATCATAAAGAAAACAAAATGACAACAATGGATGATCGGCAACAGATGCTTTGTCATTTTTTGGAAATGTGGTTGAGAATAATAAGCTAGCAGATTCAATTGGTGAATATCCTTTAAAAATTAAATTATAGAAGTGAAATCCTTGAGTGAATCACAATAAAAGTCACGTTCTATGTTGACCTTTTGACTAAAGTTAAATCTAGTAAAATATTTAGCTATTTGTTGTCGATAGGATAAAGTGCTTTAATTGATCTGCAAGATATGAGACATATGGAAAAGGAAAATAATAATTGTCTAGAGTAACATTCAGGAATTGGTTTACTTGCCTCTTTGTTACCTTTACTATGACTATAAGGGAAAGAGGTTTGTAGCTTGATCAGCTTCCTCCTTTAATTGGTTGTTCGTCTTATCATTTTCTTACAACAGTTCTTTTGCATCGAAGGTTATTGAACACAAGCCATATGACCACAAGGCTGACGTTTTCAGTTTTGGAATTGTGTTATGGGAGTTGTTAACTGGAAAGGTATTGCTCGGTCATTATCTTTCCTTTGATATGTTTGGGGAGTGCATGTACAAATTCGTGTGTTGGTTGGTTGGTTCCCATTGTTACCTTGCTTTTGTTTGCATTGTCAGCTTCCATATGAATACTTAACCCCATTACAAGCAGCTGTTGGAGTGGTTCAAAAGGTATGTCAGCTGCTTATCTTAATTTAATCTTGGTGATAGATAAAATGCTGTAAGGTTGGGGCAATCTTCGCAACCTCTAGAACAACATTTTTTCCCCTCCCTGCTAGCCTAAAAGAAAGCAAGGAAAAAGATCATGATAATGAAAAAGCCACTGAAGGATTGTTTTCATAGTGTGCGTAGAACGATATTATTACCACGTACAAGTAGTCACTTTTTCATTGACATTGATTCTAGGGGCTACGTCCAACAATTCCAAAGAACATTAATCCAAAGCTCACTGAACTGCTTGAGAGATGCTGGCAACAGGATCCAACACTAAGACCTGATTTTTCTGAAATTATAGAGATTTTGCGGCAAATTGCCAAGGAGGTTTGTTTTCATTCTCTGCACACACCTTGTTTCCTTGTGTATGATTTATTCACATACTTTCAATGACTCAACATATAAATGGTTGTTTGCTCTCCCTTTGTACATTTTTGTACATATATATGTATAGCCCTTAATATGGTTGCCTCGAGTCATTAGATCAATGGTCCCATTTTGATGGCCTGAATTTCAAAACAGTTCATGCACCCTCTTTTCTCTTCCGTTTTCTGACTTTGTGAATACAAATAGTAAAATATGAATGTCTTATGTCAAATTTTAACACTCGATAAGTTTGTAAAACAGGTAGGAGATGAAGGTGAGGATCGGCGTAAAGAGAAATCTTCGGGAGGATTTTTGTCTGTCCTTAGAAGAGGCCACCATTAAAGTAGACATGTTATACAGTGATGTTTATAACCTGAACATAGGCTTTAACTCTCTGGGGCGCCATTCCCAGCATTTTCGCCAGCACTGTACAGTATTTTATTCCATCGATCAAGTTATGATCGGGTTTGTTATTATTTTTTCTTTTTTTCATTTCCTTTTTCCTCGCATGATTTATGGCCTATGTCCATTCTTTAACCAGCCATTCGCTTTTTTGCTTTGATTTATCAATCTGTAACAAAGGGGATGGTGGTATGTGGATGAGCTTTGTAACTTGATATTTATCCTGCGGCCCTATGAGATCACAGATAGTACTGTCAATTTTTTTGGGTCTTTATTTATAACAATTGGTCACGTTTTGTAGATGTGAACGCAGCAGGATATCATTGTATAAGAGTTAAGACTCCATTTGTTCGATAGATGCAAATTCCCCATAGGATCCTGGATTGCATGTGAATGCGTCATCATTGATGTAATTGTCTAGCATGTTTCTCATTTAAAAAATTTGAATTTTATTTTTTGAACAGGAAGTCAAGCAAGAATGACAGTAATTACTGAAGTAAATATTAAGAAAAGTTTTAGTTTGATATTTTTAATGAATTGAAAAAATATATTACTACTTAATATATAGTATTTTAAAGAGTTTAAACGTATGAATTTATCACAACTATAAGAGAGGACGAGTGCGATTCAATTAGCCAAGGAAGCAGGAGTTAATGCATGTCATTGTTCATTAAAGTTATTAAATAACGCCAATGCCCTTTTACTTTTAAGATATTACGAAAGCGAAGTAATTCCGCAGAAATCCTAGAGCGTTCAAGTTTGCTATTTCTCTCCCTTACGTCTTCAACGCCACCTTTCACTCTTCTCCATAATGACTCTCTTTCTCTCTCTCTCTCCCCGCAAGTCTCCAATGTTTCAATGGACAAATATCCAATTTTTGAATAAACGCAAGTAAAAGTCACGCAAACCAACAATATTTCTTAACAGCCGAACGCTGTACGTGCGTACGTTCCTCGTCAAAATCCCAAGTTTTCAGCAATATGCCCTCATGCAATATCAATGTCGACATGGAGATTGAAATCCTTCAAATCCACGGCTCCATCAAGGACTTAAAATTAAGCGGTAGAGGCAACAACGACCCTGGCCACGAAGAGCTTCCTATTCTCTTCGATCACGATCAAGAGCCACGGATCATGGGTGGTGATCCTACTGATCCCAGAAAATTCCCTGTCATGGTCGAAGCTGCAGAATGCGGAACAGGGAAAGATTCGGACCCCGACAACAAGAACGAAACTTTTAGACAATCCAGCTATGAGTTTTGGAATGATTGCGAAGAGGGAAACGATGGTAATGACAGCTTTGGTTACAAGCAACGATGGCAAGCGGCTGAGAAATCACCTTCTATGACGAGTGGTCAGCTTTTGAACAAACGAAACAACAGCAACGAGATTGCATTGGACATGGACTTAGACATGGATGGCCTTAAACTGGACCAGTCGGTTACGTCTAGAGACTCGAGAAGGGTTTCTTTCGAAACAGGAGTTTCAGGTTTTCCAGTTAACGGGAATGACCCCATGAGGTATCAAACACAAGAAGAAGAAGGAAGAAATGAACGCAGCGATGATGTTTTCAATGAAAGTACTGGTATATCCCTTCAAAGAAGGTCCGGTTTGCTATCAAGATTGAGGAGCACTAAGTCAAGGCTTATAGACAGGCCACAAGAGGAGGTGCAGATGATGTCTGACCTGTTAGGAAAATCGGGTCCGATTAGGTCTGGATTGTTGGGGAAGAGTTCGGATATTGACGAAGAAGATGACCCGTTTTCAGATGAAGATGTGCCTGAAGAGTTTAGAAGAGCTAATCTAAATGCATTGACTTTGCTTCAATGGCTGAGTCTGATTTTGATTGTTGCTGCTTTTCTTTGTAGTTTATTGATTCCTTCTCTGAAGAGACTCTATGTGTGGGAGCTTAAGTTGTGGAAATGGTTAGTATTGGTGTTGGTTTTGATATGCGGTCGGTTGGTTTCTGGATGGGGGATTAGGCTGATTGTGTTTTTTATTGAGATGAATTTTCTTTTGAGGAAAAGGCTTTTGTATTTTGTTTACGGTGTAAGAAAACCAGTGCAAAATTGCTTGTGGTTAGGGCTAGTGCTTTTGGCTTGGCATTTCTTGTTTGACAAGAAAGTTGGCAGGGCAAGTAAAAGCAAATTGCTGAAATATGTTAACAAAATTTTAGTATGTTTTTTGTTTAGTACATTATTGTGGTTGATTAAGACATTAATAGTGAAAGTGATGGCCTCATCTTTCCATGTTAGTACTTATTTTGATAGGATTCAAGATACCTTATTCAATCAATATGTGATTGAAACACTCTCTGGTCCTCCGTTAAATAAAATCCATACAGTTGAAGAAGAAGATGAAAGGACTGCAGCTGAGATCCGTAGATTGCAGAATGCTGGGGCTACCGTGCCTCCAGACCTTCAGGCAGATGCCTTTCCACCACCAAGGAGTGGAAAGCTACAAAAAACAATTACAGGATTGAAAACCCGAAAACTTTCTGTGACAGCTTCGAAGAAGGGGGATAATGGGATTGGAATAGAACACTTGCACAGGCTCAACCACAAGAATATTTCGGCTTGGAATATGAAGAGGTTGATGATGATGGTCCGTCATGGGACATTGTCCACTTTGGATGAGCAGATATTGGATCAGCCTAATGAGAGTGATCCGGTGAAACAGATCAAAAGTGAATATGAAGCAACAGCTGCTGCAAGGAAAATTTTCCAGAATGTGGCTCGGCGTGGCTCAAAGTGAGTATTTATCAGGACTTGGTTCAAACCAGGATCTAACTTGCATGTACCAGCGCACTCTGCAGTAGTCCCCTTGATATTCAATTGGTGTTTCTTCATTATATTTTGTGAAAACTCCAGGCTCCATTCCATTGATGAGATAAGAGCATTTAATGGGTTCCAATTGATTTGGCTGATAGGTTTATCTACTTGGAGGATTTGATGCGATTTATGCGAGAAGATGAGGCTTTGAGGACAATGAGCATCTTTGAAGGTGCTTATGAGAAGAGGAGAATCAGCAAATCATCCTTAAAGAATTGGGTGGTAAGAACAGAACTAGAAATGATTCTTCATATGAAAATAAATAAATAAATAAATAAATTTTACATTGTTCACCTATTATTTCAGGTGAATGCCTATAGAGAGCGAAGAGCTCTTGCCTTGACGCTGAATGATACAAAGACGGCTGTGAACAATCTTCATCATATCGTAAACGTCATAGCGTTCATCATCATGGCGGTCATCTGGCTTGTCCTTCTGGAAATCGCCTCCTCCAGGATTATCCTACTCTTCAGCTCGCAGCTTGTCGTTGCGGCCTTCATCTTTGGGAATACTTGCAAGACAATATTTGAATCTATCATCTTCTTGTTCATCATCCACCCTTTTGATGTTGGGGACAGGTGTGAGATTGATGGTGTGCAGGTTTGTCGAATAATTGTCTTTGAACTGTGCTGTATCTCTTTATTTCATCCCAAGTAATGATCGACTTGTTTCTTAAACATGCTTTAGTTGGTGGTGGAGGAGATGAACATTCTTACTACAGTTTTCTTGAGATTCGACAACTTGAAGATCACATTCCCCAACGGTGTTCTTTCAACAAAGCCTATCGGCAACTTTTATCGTAGTCCAGATATGGGAGATTCAATTGACTTCTGCATCCACATCGCTACTCCAATAGAGAAGGTTGCTGTCATGAAACAGAGAATAGTGAGGTAAGCAGGGGAATAGCATTTCCTTCACTAGTTATTGCAGTGCAGCCGTGGGAAAACATCTGCTTTATTACTCTTTTTATTCAGTGACTAAATTTGTCTCTCCTGGACGTTGATGCAGTTATATCGAGAGCCGCAAGGAGCATTGGTGTTGTGCTCCCACGGTTATACTAAAGGAAATCGAGGGATTGAACAAGCTGAAAATGGCGGTATGGGTGACTCATAAGATGAACTACCAGGACATTGGAGAGAGGTGGGAAAGGAGAGCTCGATTGGCCGAAGAAATGGTGAACATATTCAAAGAACTTGACATGCCATTTCGCTTGCTGCCAATTGACATCAATGTCTGCTCCTTGCCTCCAGTTAACTCTAGTCGCATTCCTTCCGCTTGGACTGCTGCAGAAAGTTCAGCTGACTGAGGAAACAACAATTTTCTTTTCTTTTCTTTTTCTTTACCGGGATATATGATTTGCTGTTCTGGTTATTTAGTTGGGGGATTCCATCCCATGTACCTAATCACCTTTAGGACTTGATTGCAACTGTTTCAGTCGCACTTGGCTATATATATAATCCCCACCTAAAAGCCGAAACGAAGCAACTCATCATCAAAAACCAATGACTGCTTTCAACACAAATTCTCTCTTTGTACCGTTCGTTCTGTTCTCAGCCTTTGATCATCATCACCCTTACCCTGCTGCAGTTGAAGTTGGATGAAAATGGTCGTCAAAACCAAAACCAGCGATTCCCCACATTTCAAATTGAGCAACAAAAGGACCTCATGTCTCCATTGCAAATTCCCAGGAAGAGGGTGATAAGGGTATCCAAAATCTTTCAGTAGGGGTAGCAGCTAAGCTTCCATTCCAAGGGAAGCTCTTCGGATTCAAACCTTTTGTATTGTTGCTCAAGGAAAGACAATGTTCATGCTCCTTCTTTAGCTGTCTCGTGCTTGCCTAAACAGGATCGGCTTCTGGATTGCTAAGGAACAATGGGATGTTTTTGAAGAACGTGGTGACCATCAAAGTGTTCTAGAATGTTTTTTTTTCCTTTTTGGGATATGGAGATGAAATTTTATTGAAATAATCTCTTACCAAAATTTATTTTACTTGAATAAGGTAAATATAGAAATGGACATAAAATTGCTTTATTATTTTTAGAATTAATTTTTATAGAGTTATATTTTACATGTATTTAAATATTTAGTTTATTAATTGATATATAATTTTTTTACTTAAAGAATACAGTTCGAATCCTATTACATATATCATAGACACCTTAATTTTTATTTTGATAATTTCTCAAGAGGAAATTTTTTTTTTTTTATAGGTGGACATTTCAATTTTATAGAAATTAAAATTTTTATAATGTGTGTGAAAAAGGTCAAGAAAACATAAATTAAAACCAATAAGGTTGGATCACTGGGCCTAAGTGGTCCATTTTTGGTTGGACCTCAACCTTGGATGTGGTCCGTCCTGAAAGCCCAATTCAAGGCTAGAGGCCCGCAATAGGTTTAATTAGCGGCCCACTAAAGGGGCCCAAAGGGCTAAGAATTGAGTTATGTAATAATCATTTTAATAAATAGAAAAAACAAGAAGACAAGAATTGAATTAAGTTTCTGAAAGGCTGTGCAATGCCCGATGGA